AATCTGCTTTTGCAAGGGCCAGTGTGGGAAAAGATGAAATTGTAATTTTCAGGGGACTCTCTGACCCCCAAGGCCACAGAATGTCAATCTGTGGAAGAAGGTAATTGGGTTCAACATGTCTTAGCCAGTGTTGATTCAAAATTTCCAGTTTATTATAGACATATATAAACACTGCACAATCTGGAAAAAAGTTTCCTGGAGATAATTAACTCAGTCCCAAGTGCACAAAAAAGCTTAAGCCATGACTGCATTGAAACTATTTGTAAAGTACAAGAGACATCTTCCATAAAGACAGGTTCTGCAGGTTAACTGAGAAAGCCAACTGAAGATACGGGTAGTGGGGGAGACGGAGTTATAGATTGACTGAGACAAACAAGCTCAAGATAAGGCATTAGGGAAGGGTCTGGTATGGTCTCAGGGCAAAGGTCACCAATCAGGCTATTAACCACCTTTGGTCCCAGTTTTCTGGATGGAAAACATTTCTTGCTTTGAAGAGACAACCCTGTGTGTTTAACATTTTTGTCCCCTAGTGCTTATCTGTGAGCACAAGGATTTACATGTCTCCTACAGTAATACTATTTAACCTCTGCTTTTAAATTAGTTTAGTTTTCTTTGCATGAGGTCTCAGACTTGTGCTCTCCCTTTCTCAGCCTCCCAAGGGGCTTGATTACAGGTGTGTACCACTACCTCCAGCTTCAGTTTTTCTTTTTAGACTGAAGGACCTTGGGTAATCAGGTCCAAAGCATCTCAAGTCCCCAGCTCAATAACCAGACAGTTGGATGCAAACTGCTAGAAGTTTATTGTTCACACAGGCGCCTGCGGGCGTCCCAGCAGCCTTAGCTAGCTGAGCGTGCCGGGCTTTAGGACAGTTTTCTTTTTATATACATAATCTTGGCAAGCAAAGCAATAGGGGTATTGTAAGAAGTGCGGGCATAACTTAGCCTTCCTGGAGAAACCACAAGATCAAAATTAAGCTTATCTTAACAGCCTGCCGGTTTCCTGTGTCAGCACTCTGGACCAGATATTCTTTTCGATCTGACCTTGTTCCCTGCCTAGGGGATCTTGGGGAGTTTTCCACTGAGGCAACCTTCTGAGTCTCAAGGGGGGTGTATTGAGGTCCTTCAAGATATTTGTCTCAGTATATAGCCTGGGCAGGTCCTGAAGTTTTGATTCAGGTCTGCCTGCTAGAGCCGTAGTGTGTGCCACCAACCCGACACACCCTTTGTTTTGTTTTATACTATCTTCTCTTGTCTTTCATAGGAATGCCTATCTATCTATCTATCTATCTATCTATCTATCTATCTATCTATCTATCTATCTATCTATCTATCTATCTATCTATTATCTATCTATCTATCTATTATCTATCTATCTATCATCTATCTATCTATCTATCTATCTATCTATCTATCTATCTATTTTTGTTGGGTTTGAGCACAGGCCTATCAGGAGTTTAGTTTTTTTACACTTTCAAGATTGAGTCAAAAGCTGCTTGTAAAATGGAGTATTGCAGGGAGAATGTGCAGCCTGCAAAACAACTTTACACAATATATATAGTAACTTAGAGTAGACTTTTTTAAAAAAAGATTTATTTATATACAGTGTTCTGCCTACATGTATGTCTGCTGGCCAGAAGAGGGCACCAGGTCTCATTACAGATGGTTGTGAGCCACCATGTGGTTTCTGGGAATTGAACTCATGACCTCTGGAAGAGCAGTCAGTGCTCTTAACCTCTGAGCCATCTCTCCAGCCCCTAGAGTAGACTTATAGTCTGATTGTAACCTTTTTTTCTGTCAGCATTTTACTTATGTCACAGACTGGCCTTAGATTTGCTGTAATCTTCCTGCTTCAGCCTCGGAAGTCAGTTATACAGTGTCAGTGTCAAAGTCCCCTTGTGGATGGGTATCATCGAAAAGGCCTGAGATGCCATGTCTCAGGAGCTCAGTAGTGCATCATGGGGTCACCTCCAAATTTTCAGGTTTTTTTGTATTGTCCAAGTAATTGGTCATTAGTTTTGTGTTATCAGGGTTCACAGCTAAGGACTGGTTCATTAGCTGATGAATAACACCTTGTGGCTAGTTCATTAGCATGTTTTGTGATTGGCTAACTTCTGAGCTGCCTGTGATTGGCTCCTGTCCAACAAACACTACATTATTCCAAGTCACACAAAATGGTTTCACTTATGTTTCTAACAGTGAGAAAGCAGGGCAGGCAGGTCTACAAAGTGATGGGCTACCTTTGAGCCTATCTAGCAGATGGAGACTGTCAGAGAAACGCCTCCTGTGCTTCAAGGCTGGGATAAGGACTTTTGTTCTGAGGTTGCTTTTTATTTGGAAGTGCTTAGTAGACAGAGTACTTACTGCACTGTAGGGGTAGCTGTGATGGATCCTACATATCAGCAGACTAAGGATTATAGCTTATGTATTTTTGTCTAACTTGTTTTCTTTTTGTACCATGTCAATATTGTTCTGTTAATATATAAAAATCTGCCTCTTTTTTTGGCATGTGTATGTTATATGCATATGTACATGATTGTGTGTGTGCTTGTGCTCACTTGCTCACCTGTGTGGGTGGGTGCATGTGTGTGTGTAGGCTGGAGTTGGTGTCCTGTTTTCCTCCATCACTTTCTACTTTATTTACTGAGGCAAGGTTTCTGTCTAAACCTGGAATTCTCAGATTGGGCTAGTCTAGCTAGCTAGTTTACCCTGGGGATCCTCTGTTTTTGCTTTCTAAATTTAGGGAATGCAGGATTCAGGTAGGTTGCCATGCCTAGTCAGCTTTCCTTCTCTCTCTCTCTCTCTCTCTCTCTCTCTCTCTCTCTCTCTCTCTCTCTCTCTCTCTCTCTCTCTCTCTCTCTCTCTCTCTCTCTCTTCCTCCCTCCCTCTCTTCCTCCCTCCCTCTCTCCCTCCCTTCCTTCCTTCCTTTCTCTCCCTCCCTTCCCCCCTCTTCCCTTCCCTTCCCTTCCTTCCCTTCCCTTCCTTCCCTTCCCTTCCCTTCCCTTCCCTTCCCTTCCCTTCCCTTCCCTTCCCTTCCCTTCCCTTCCCTTCCCTCCCCTCCCTCCCCTCCCCTCCCCTCCCTCCCTTCCCTTCCCTTTCCTTTTTCTTCCTCTTCCCCCTTTCCCTTTTCCTTTCTCTTTCTTTCCAGAGTTTCTCTGTGTAGTCCTGTCTGACCTGGAACTAGGTCTGTAGGCCAGACTCATAGACACCCCCTTGCCTCTGACTGGGATTAACGGTGTGTACATGTGGGTGATGGGGAACTGAACTCTGGTTTTCATGCTTGAATGACAAGTACTTCATTGTCTGAGTCATTTCATCAGCCCATCTTTCTCTCTTTTTTTTTTTTTTTTTTTTTTTTTGGTTTTTCGAGACAGGGTTTCTCTGTATTGTTTTGGAGGCTATCCTGGAACTAGCTCTGTAGACCAGGCTGGTCTCGAACTCACAGAGATCCACCTGCCTCTGCCTCCCGAGTGCTGGGATTAAAGGCGTGCGCCACCAACGCCCGGCTCCATCTTTCTCTTGACACAAGGGCTTGTTACATATAGATGCTGACCTTGAGCTTGTTCTGTTCTCCTCCGTGGGAGTGTAAGCCACTACCCTCAGCTTTTACTCCATTTCTTTTTCCTACTTTTTGGATAGATAATAAATTTAAAGCATGTTGTATGTTGCCAGGCTCATTGGTCTTATTTGTACATGTTTCTTGTTTAGTACTCAGTATAATCATGAGTTGGAGGTCAGCCTAGGCTACATTTGGAGTTTGAGCTACATAAGGAGACCCTGTCTCAAATCAACAATAAACAGCTAAAAAAGTGAGAATTCAGTTTTATTTGATTCTTGGTTAAAAACATGAAAACAAGATGAGCAACGTTAGGGGCTGGACTGTAGGTGAGTACGCCCATGTCCAGCAGCCAGTCCTCAGGCCATGTGCACCAGAAGACATCTTTGTAGGGTTTCTCTGTCCTACAGCTTTCTACAAAGCAGTTGTATGGATATCCACTTGCATATTTTCTGTGTCTTGTACTGAGCTCAGGAACATTTGTTTAGGTTGGTAATTGTTCTGTAGAATTAATCATTTTTTACTTCCTAAACATTTATTTATTGTATGCAACTTTGCAAGTTGATTTTTTTTCTTCCACCGTGTGGGTCCCAGGGATTAAACTCAGGTCTTGGCAGCCGGTGCCTTTACCATATGAACTGTCTTGTCAGCCTTTGACTTAATCAAATATACTCAAGTTTGGATTCATTTACTTATTTCTTTTGTTTTGAAGTGCTCGGGTGTAGGAACACACATTGCTGGGGCATCATCTGTTGGGTCTGTGCTTGAGAAGGGGAGTATTCTGTTGTTTAGGCCAAACATCCTGCTGCATTTACATCTTAGGCCAGACATCTTTGTTGTTTCCCCTTGGAGGGTTTGAACTCTCTGACCTTAAGTCAAGATGAAACGGAGCCATTTCTATAGGCCCCGGCACTGGGGGTTGAACCTAAAGCCTCATACGTGTTAATCACTTGCTGTCCCACTGAGCTATACCGCAAGTCTTTCGTGTATGCTTCAAGTAATTCCTCCATCTGGACAAATATATCATGAGAAAATAAGTTTGCTTTGTTTTTGTGATTATCATTTGTTTCAAACTAGGATTAAACATAAAAACTACTGGCTATTTCCATAGTTGAAGTTGTGTGACTAAGATAAGCAAAATTATCTTGCTTTAATAGAAATATGGTTTTGTTTGTACACTCCTATCCAAGACATGATTATGCTGTTTCTCACCGTAATTTTTCCCCATAAAACAGACTAATCTATTTATATACATTATAGGCAGAATAATAAAGCATATTTTCATCTGACTTTTAGATCTAGTATTCAATCATAAATTCTCCTTGAGTAACAATTACGCAGAGGATATGCACACTGAAATGAAGAGGAAGCTTAGCTTTACTGCAGTCTGCGCTGGTGTAACCTAACTAGCTAGAGGATATGCAATTCCTGATTGACAGCAGGGCCAGCAGTATGCAGATTTTGTAAGGGAGAACACCCAGCTCAAAAACAGTGATTAGCGCTCTGCTAGGAATCACTACAGTCGCCCTCGTGTCTTCTAGTTTCCCCGTCTCCTAGATTTGTAAACAAATAGCACCAAACAGTTCCTCTTTTGTTTTATTAAAGTGATACCGCAGCGCTGTTTCAGCCCATCAGCCAGGCATACATGTGTGGACATTTGATAGTCTCACCGAATGAGCTAATTTTAAGCTGTGTTTCATGCTTATCTCTAGACCTTTGTGCATTAAATCCTATCTCGAGCTGCTGTCTTTACACACAAGTGTTTTGCTTGTGCTTTCTTGCCTTCTGTGAGAAGCTTTATGTAGGTCAGGCTTGGCTTAAGCAGCTTTCCCGAACCTGCGTCAGCTTAAGCTGGAGGAATTTTAATAAGCCCTCCCCTGTAGGCGTGGGCCTAAATGGGGCTAGCCTAGTTAAGCCTGATCTTTCTGTTTGTGAAAAGAGCTGAGCAGAGCTGAAGGCTGCATGGTGGATTCAGAAACTGCCTACTTAATTTCAAAAGAACAATGGTAGGAAAGGCTAGATCTTCCAATTTTACCCTGTCTGAAAAGCTTGATCTGCTAAGCCTTGTGAAGCCATATGTGAAAATTCTCGAAGAGCACACTAATAAAAATTCAGTAATAGTAGAAAAGAATAGATGTTGGGATGTCATAGCAGTTAACTATAATGCAATTGGAGTAGACCGCCCTCCTCGAACAGCACAGGGCCTACGCAGCCTTTACAAAAGGCTCAAAGAATATGCCAAACAGGAGCTATTGCAGCAAAAGGAGGCCCAATCAGATTTTAAAAGCAGTATTTCCGAGCCAACCAAGAAAGTTATGGAGATGATTCCCCAGATTTCCAGCTTTTGCCTGATAAGAGACAGGAACCACATACAAAGGTAAGCTGTATTTTATTTTGTTGTGGGAAATGATGGCGCCTCCTAGCTCTTGGGCCCTGGCTTAGTTGTGATAGAGATGTGCATGCAAACATCCCCACAAGGGAGCATGAATAGTGTCTTTGTCTTGCTTTCTTAAAAAAATAAAGCTATGAGGAATTTTTCTGTTGCGCTTGATTTAAACTGCTGTTTTACTGTCTTCCCCTTGTTTCATCTGGCAGTTTTTGAAAGTAAAGATTAGAATTAATGGGATGAAGCTTGTGACATCACTAAAAAACTCCAACAGCATATACAAAATAATGGCTTTCTTATGACATTTTCATACATATGTACTTTGATTCTATCTCATAAACTTTTTAAGCCTTAAAATGAGATTATTTGCTTTTGAGATACATTATTCTTATTTAAGATTACATTTCATTGAAATGAGTTTCTTGAAAATTTTTTTATGTAAAATTTGTATGAAGTTAGTAGTTTTGGAGCAAATGGAAACTTTGTTTTTTGTGAATTATTATTACTGTGTATGTTTCCCGAGTATGTATGAACTAACAACTAAAATCAGTGTCATTAATGACATGATTATGTATGTGAACACTGTCTAGTTTTCTAATATACTTGAAATAGATAACATTAACTAAAGGAAGTTAATACCTAATTAAGAGATTCAGATTACATGATAAAATAAAGTGTGATTGAGTAATGCTCTAGTTTCACTTTGATATTGGGTCCTAGCAAAGGATAAGCCTTCTCAGACTGCTCTGTAAGTTATAAAACTCAAGTTGTGGTTGGAGCAGCCTGGGTTAGGGTTTGAATGTTCTGTATGATTATTTGCCTAAGACTCTTACAAGCTGTTACCTGTGACTAATACACATTTTAACCCTTGACATAGATAAAAATGGCAGCTCCATTCTTCCACCAATCAGTTAAGGTTATTTAAACAAACTGTAAACTCTTTGTTGAAGGGCCTTTCAAACAGAGATTCAGTGTGCTCTCCTGCTCCAGGAGAGGCACTGGGTAAGCAAAGTTGCTGATTACTTGTGGAACTTGAAGTTAGGAGAGAAGCAGGAAATCTTTAGCTGAGCTTGTCTGTTTCTTTGGTAACATACTAGGCAATAGTTTTTTGAGATTTAACCCTGTCCTGCTTATTTCTTCTTGATAGCATAAATTTTAAAAAACACCCCACTTGGCCATGCAGTGGGTTAGTTCTTGGGGTGACTGGTAGGATTTTCACTGTTGTGACAAATGATGAGATTCTATGTTGGATGGATAAGAATTTCCACAGTACAGTTGTTTGACACTGCCTTACTTGTTTTGAATTTTGCCACTTTCAAAAACAGCTTGTAGAAAAATGTTTTTTGTTTTACTGGTACAAACTATATCTTTTGGGTACTAAACATAGATTTTCATAATTAGAAACTGATACATAGACACTGTACTTTAGTTAGTTGTCTATTTAAAAAACACAGTAAATACAGAAGATAACATAACTAGTTACCTGTTTACATTTTGATTATCATAAACATACACATGTGAGTTTTTGACACACCAACATTTCTCTGTTAAGAATGAGTTAGCTAATTGTATATTCCTATTTCTGTTGTTTAAATTGCAGTTTATTAGTTTTTTTAAAAAAGGAAGAATATAAAAAATATGCCACTTATGTTAGTACCTACATTGATATTTTTCTGCTAGTTAATTCATTTAATATACTTAGGTATTTCATGTGCTTATACATATTTGTCTGAGATCATCATAAATCTTAATTATTACAGAAGTTTATAAATCTATAATTTTGATTATAGATATTTTTACACAAATATTACTATTAATTTGATTAGACAGTCTCCTAGGGAATTTTACTGCATGTGTTATGTTTTTTAAAGTATTCTGTTTTATAACTTATTTAACAAGTTAGAATGATTTTTTAAAAAATTTGTCTCTAAAAAGCAGATTATAATTAATGTTTTATAATCTTTTCAATCCTCTAAATTTAGATTTTTAGTTTTTAGAAATTTTTAGTTCTGTTTATCTTTCTTGAGACTTTCTCTAATTTTTAATTTTGTTATTTATAATGTCCTCACCAAAATGAAATGAATAATCTAGGCATAAGCATATTTTTAATTTATGTGGGGGTATAATATCTATATGCTATATACTACTTTGCTGTAGAAATTATGAATATAATTTAAAATAATTTTTATGGTTTTAAGCTTTTCTTATCCCATACTTTAGTCTAGATCAGCGGTTTTCAACATGGAGGTTGTGACCCACTTCAGGGGTCGAATATCAGATATCCTGCATATCGGGTAGCACAGTATGATTCATAACAGTGACAAAATGTTTGGTTCCATAAATAGTCTACCATCTTCCTCAGAGTCATCAGCTTTTATGGTTTGTAGATCAATCCAGGAAAACAAAAGCAGAGGAACACACCAAATGATTCTTTACAGCATTTAAGAACCTCAACAATGTAGGGACAATTAATATCTCTTTGAGAACATTAAAATAGCTCTTCGAGAAAGTATTTGTGTTAAGCCTGATGACCTGTCTTTGATTCTAGTACCTACATGATGGAAGGAGAGAACCCACTCCTATATATTGTATTCTGACCTCTAAATACATACAAATAAATACATGTACAAAAAAGTTTTCTTTTAAGCCGGCGTTGATGGTGCACTCCTTTAATCCCAGCACTTGGGAGGCAGAGGCAGGTGGATCTCTGTGAGTTCGAGGCCAGCCTGGTCTACAGAGCAAGTGCCAGGACAGCTCCAAAACAATACAGAGAAACCCTTTTTCAGAAAAACAAAAAAAACAAAACGAAAAAAAAGTTCTTTTTTAAAATTTTTAAATGTTTCTTAAGTCTGTTGAGATAGTTCTGTCAATAAAGTGCCTGCCACATAAGCATGAGGTTCTGTATCCAGACCCCCAGACCCCATGCCAAAGGCTAGAAATGGTAGTATTCCCGGCACCAGGAGGACTGGGAGGACTGAAGTTCATTGGCCAGCTGCTGAAGCTCAGTGGATGAGCTTCAGGTTCAGAGAGACTCTATTAGAAAAAACAAAAGGTGGAGAGCAATGGAAGACCCCTGACAATGTTCTTAGGTCTCACATGTGCACACAACACAGACACACCCACATGTGTACTCACAAAATGACTTTTCTTTATCCTACTAAGTTTGTATAGTACTTGTAATTTTCTATCATTGTAAGAGCCTAATACCAAGTTTAAGAGCAGAGGGCTAGCTAGGCATGTAGATAGAGAGCTTCACTCAGTTATCAGCACCACAAAACAACAGGTTAAGGACGGAGGAGACCCATATGTGTATATTATTAAAGTCATAGTCTTAGTCATTTGTTTCTATTAAACACTTTTTGTATAGTTTCAAATCTTATATATACTTATATATACTTCAGCAGTTGAAAGGCTTTTTGGGGGTGAGGAAACACATATGCAGCAGACACAGAGGAATAGACCCTTTTCAAACCAGGAACTTGGGAACCCCCACCCCAAGAAAATCTCATGGTCGCATGTTGGTTTCTTTTTGTTGTTGTTTGTTTGTTTTTTGAGACAAGGTTTCTCTGTGTCGCCCTGACTGCCTTAGAACTCACTCTGTAGATCATGCTGCTCTCAGAGATTCTTCTGCTTCCTGAGTGCTGGGATTAAAGGTGTGTGACACCACAGCCCAGCTTTTTTGTTTTTGTTTTTGTTTTTGTTTTTGTTTTTTGACTGAGAGTATGGTATGTAGCCCACGCTGTCCTGGAACTTGAGATGCTCCTGTCTCACTCTCCTAAGTGCTGGGGATGTAAGTGTATGCTATTACTCTCTCTTCAAAGATTTATAGCTAAGTGCATATTATTATGAAATATAAAGCACATAAATATGAAACTGTTCTTTAAATACACTATGTTTATTATTTATAATTTTTTTTATATGTGCTATAGTGCAAACTTGGATGAGGCTGCCCAGGCTGGCACCAGCTCACTGCAGGTAATGGTGGATCACCATCCTGTTGCTATTACATTAGAGGTGAAGCAAGAAGAGGACATTAAGTCATCCCCTCCACTGGTTCCAAATCCTCAACACAATGATACTTCAGAGCAAAGAGAAGAGCATGAACTAGTACATGTTATGGAAGAACCCTTGTCTCCATCACTTTCTTCTGTTGATATGAGAGTGACATCATCTCCATCTTCTATTCCAAGGAGAGATGATTCTTTTCATCATGAAAGTGGAGAACACCTTAGGTCTCTGCTAAGATATGACCCTCAGATCCTGCAAATGTTAAAAGAGGAACATCAGATAATTTTAGAAAATCAGAAGAATTTTGGATTATATGTTCAGGAGAAGAGGGATGGATTGAGAAGAAGGCAGCAGCTAGAGGAGGAGCTGCTCAGAGCAAAGATTGAAGTGGAGAAGCTGAAAGCGACTCATTTACGGCATGGTCTGACCCAGCAGGGTAGTCTCTAAGAGTCTTCTCAGTCTTGCAACCTGATAATTTCAATTTTGCCAGAAGTAATTTGGAGTATCATGAAGCTGAGAACCTGTCCTATAAAATATCTCTTATAAAAAAGCTCTTAACATGATTTTCTTTTCCTTTCCAATCCTATTTTTTTAACACAAGTTTCTAAGTATTTAATTTTCTCTTTAATACTAAAATTTTCTGATTGGTTGACATGGTAATCTAGCTCATTGTCTTCCCTCGATTTTTTTTCTAAGACATTTAGTTGTTGGCCTTATGTAAGATTTTTATTTTGATTATAAAAGAAATAATGCAAATAGAGTTGTATGTGGTGCATAAGCCTGTAATTGCAGCACTTGGGAGGGAGAGGCAGGGCAGAAGATCAAAGCCATCCTAATTTCAAGGTCAGCCTGTGCTATGTGGAGTACTGTGTCAAAACAAAATGCACAAAATTGTATAAATGCATAAATAGTACTGAATCTTTAACAGTTTAGTTACTGAGCTACATCCCTAGTCCTATATTTTCTTTTTTTTAGAGACAGGATATCACTCTGTAGCCCAGGCTAGCCTGGATACAAGGTCCTCTTGCCTCGCCATCTGAATTCTGGGATTATAGGTGTGTACTGTACTCACAGTAACAGAAAACTTGTATGCATGCCATGGGTTTTGTCTTTACCTTTTGAAAGAGTGAAGTTAGACTTTAGAGACAGAAGGTATTTGGAAAATACTTCAGTTTGGAGGTAATGAAACTGAGGTCAGGGAGGATGCCAAAATCTATTCTAGGTAGCAAAGTAAGAGTAAGTATTGGTGTTTTTTTCTTTTCCTTCCTTCCTTCCTTCCTTCCTTCCTTCCTTCCTTCCTTCCTTCCTTCCTTTTTTTTTTTTTTTTGAGGGAACAGGGGAGAATGGTGGTGGTAACTTTTATTCTTTATTTATTCTATAGAAGTAAAAAAACTCAGAATTCATTTAATTAATTAGGAGAATTTATTTAATTAGAATCACACATTGGTTGGAAGGTGTGTTTGAGTCCCATCTCCAGGGACAGAAGCAAACTTACTATTCTACATTGTTGGGTTATGAAGTCTAGGGAATTGTGTCACCACTCTACCCTCCCTCTCTTTGTTTGTCCTGCTAAAAGAGATCAGGTCTTTTTATTGAAAATATTACATATTTTGACATGTGATTAAAATTATCTTAGTTTTTCTGGAAAATGTTTCTTCACAGTAAAGTTAGAATTAAACAAAATGTAAACTATGTAGAATGAAATTAACAAGTCATGTTTACGTATAATTTAACTTGTAGATTTTTGTAAGTATGATTTTTAAATATTGTTGTATTCATGGAAATAAAATCTTGATTTTTTATAAATCTTACATACGGAATTTATGTTAAATATTTGATATGTGTCTCACATCTTGATTTCCATTTTTGCTGGGATTTTGATGAGGAAGGACTTTAAAAAGGCAGGCTTTTGGATGGGGCAGGTAGAGTTTCAGAAACACTGGGGATAAAGGGTGCTTGATGTCAGGGTGAGCCCTTGCAATACACCTACAGATGGAGTGGGTCAAGCTGTCCAAGCACACATGCTCTCTAAGCCAGGCAACTTTGAAGTGAGGATAGGTAGAAAATTTGGGGTTTTGGTAACTTGAATGACCTGGAACACACTCTGTAGACCAGGCTGGCCTCAGTCTCACAGAGATCATCTCTCTCTGGGATGCTGGATTAATGGAGTGCCTGGTGGACATCTTCTTGACTACATTGGGTAACTTCTGTTTAGTTCAAGTTGAAATTTTACATTCAGGAATATGCCAGGAATCTGATTTTGTGTGAAATTTTCCAGTTTTTAAATGTTTGCAAGTCATTCAGAATGCTTTTAAAACAGTTTAGGCATGCCAGTTCCGGGGCTTTCGGGCTTCTAGTTGGAGGTCTTTAGAGTAAAAAGCCCAGGTGAGGATGTGGCTGTGGTTCGGTGATATGGGTCTCTCCTGGTTTAATCAAGGCCTCAGGTTCCGGCCACAGCACCACAAACACAGTACAGTTAAGACAATAGTGTCAGTCCTGAACTGGAGTATCAGGGTTGTATTACCTCTTTAGAGTGTGAATCCAGCCGGTGAATCAGAACCCATGGGTAGGGTTCAGCCATCTGTGAAGAGTCCTCTGGGGACTCTGATGCTAGCTAAAGGTTGAGAGTTGAACTTGGTGCTTAAATCCTGACAGCTTCTCAACGGTTCTCACTGAAGAGTAATGTGGGCAAAATAGTTGTTATCTGTAAAGAGAGGCTTTTCCTGGCTAGCCGCTTTGGTTTATCACCCGCCGGTTGCCTGGGCTCTGCCGCGTTGTAGTCCCCAAACAAACACACAAGATGCTGTATTAATTATGAAGCTGTTGGCCTTGCTTGTTTCTTACTGGCTAGCTCTGACTTAAGTAATTACCCCATAATTGTTAATCTAAGTATGTCTCTTACCGGAGAAGTTTCCGGGCTTCCTACCCCATGGTGTTACATCTCGACTCTCTGTGTTTCTCCTTCCCAGAGTCCTCCTGGACTCCTAGTCCCACCTATCTAGATTCCTATTGGCCAGCAGTGCTTTATTGACAAAGGACTTCCCCCCAACAGTTATCAAATTATGGATTACATTGAATGCTGTCTTTACGGAGAGAAGCTGTTGAAGGCTTTTTGATGATAGAGATGACACAATTAAGATATGATTAGGAAGAATGCTATCAAATGTAGTGGTATAAGTAATGGTTATAGAAATAGAAAGAGTAAATAAAGTGAACTCTTAGGGTATTAGGTTAATTTGTTTATTTATGTTCAAGGTGATAATATATTCCCATGGCAGTTTGCCTTTTTAATCTGTGCTATGGTTTTCAGTTGAAATGTAATGAATCTTCTAATTTGAGGTAATATGTTTTATAATATAATTTTAGTAAATAATGTCTATAGTAGAAACCCTTTTGAAATTATTCAAAGTAAGTTATGATAAGAAGTCTAATTCTCATTATTTCAGCATGCTGCCACTCAGACTTGGTAGTTAACATTTAGTCTGAGTATTGACTTGGCATAGTATAACAAAACCCATTTACAAGTGTCTTTGTGGAAAATTAATTCTGTGAAATGTTTGTAGAAAATAATTCAGTGTTTAAAGAAAGCACATCTTTTTTTTGATGGTTTGGTTCTATAATCAGTGTAGAAATTAAAAGAATATAGATGTCTTTGAAAATTCCTTTGTTGTACATAAAATAGTATTGTAATCACATTTTTCTCTGGCATTGTTCAAATTTGCTGTTTGTGTCAAGTGGCACAATTTGTTAGTAGTTAAGGGCTATGAAGAATAATAAACCTTTTTTTTTGTATTTTGTATCTAGAATTCCAATCATTAGAGTAAACTTACTGCATTTTTTATGAGTCAATATTGTTTTAGTTGTAAACGTTATGAAAACATAATAATCCCTCCCCATTTTCTAATTCCTTCCCCTACGTAGCCATGTTTTCAAAGCCGGTTTATGAGAATTCCCAAGTAAAACAAAGAACTAACCACATGACTGTAGAACCTTTCTTGAGGCTGTTGTTTTCCTTTGATCTTGTCGAGTGTGGCCCAGGGATTTTAAGCTAAATCTCACCACCTCTTTCTTTGTGATATTGAGACTTTGAACTTGAGGACTACCTGTGACCTGTGAGCAGACTTTTCTGAGGACAGGTTTCCCTCAGTGAGTACTGAGGAGGAAGTTGTACTAGCAATGATGGAAGCTGCCAGACATCTTGGACACTGGGCCCTCATACAATGTGGGAAATGCTGGGAACAGGGGGTGGGATGGGGTGTTATTTTTTTGTTTTAGATGTGATTCTGTAGAGATACTTTACATGTGGTAAATGATTATTTCATTTGATCTCCCTCTCTCTTCATTTTTTTTTTTTTTTTTTTTTTTGAGCAGGGTTTCTCTCTATTACCTTGGCTGTCCTGGAACTCACTATATAGGGTGGCCTTGAACTCAGAGATCTGTATGCCTCTGGTACTGGGATTTAAAGGCATGTGTCACTACTGCCCAGCTAAGCTTTTTTATTTTTAATCTCATGAAATATTTAGGATAAATCCCTTTTTAATAATGAGGCAACAACTTGTATGATTTCATTTTTGAGATGCTCTACTTTGGTTTATCTTTACTCACATAAATGTTTAAAATATGTGTGATAGCTGTATGCCTCCTTTTAGTGTGATGTCATTTAAATAGCCACTTAACTCTCAGAGTACAGTGAATTGTGTTGACTGTATGATGCTGGTGCTGAGGGTAGCTAAGGAAGTAAGTTATACTGATTTATATATTCTTTTTGGTGCCATAAGTCAAGAGTTTAGTATAACAGAGGTAAAAGTTTTTGATGAAGCAAACTTGAAGTAAAATGATCTAGAAGACTGTAGTAGATGCCAAATATACTGTAGCTAAATATCATACTTTAAAATAATCTTAAGGAGCCGGGCATTGGTGGCGCACACCTTTAATCCCAGCACTTGGGAGGCAGAAACAGGTGGATCTCTGTGAGTTTAAGACCAGCCTGGTCTACTGAGAGTTCCAGGACAGCCTCCAAAACAATGCAGAAAAACCCTGTCTCAAAAACAAAGAAAAAAATCTTAAGGTTCACAAATTCTTAAAGTAAGATATTTGGTTGTAAATACTTAAATAAATGAAGTTTAGTACATAGTTTATAAATACAAGAGTAAGTTTTTTGGGGGGGGGAGTTTTGAGACACGGTTTCTCTGTGGCTTTGAGGCTGTCCTGGAACTCACTCTGTAGGCCAGGCTGGCCTCGAACTCACAGAGATTCGCCTGCCTCTGCCTCCCGAGTGCTGGGATTAAAGGCGTGCACCACCAACAGGAGTAAATTTTTAAATTAGGCAATCTAATTAAAATGAACAGAATTGTGCTGAATCTGTGTATATGTTTTTGAGATACTACCTACATTTTTTGTCTAAATATGTGCTTTTATTTATTATTTATTTTTATTTTAGAAACATACTTATTTACATATCCATCCCTCATTCCCTCACCCTCTTATCCTCCCATGCTTCCCACTGATCCCCCAACCCACCCCTCACCCACTCCCCAGGGATAGTGAAACCCTTCATGGGGGATCGTCAAAGTCCATCCTCGTTTGGGGGAGGACCCAAGTCCTCCTTTTCGTATCTGGGCTATGTGCTTTCATTTAGTTCTTTTAAATAATATATTAAGTACCTGTGACCCCACCAGGATGATTAATGTATTTTTATAGTTTTTTGAATTGATTAAACTAGTGGGTATAATTTAAAATTATATTTTCAATTGCTTTGTAAATAATGAATAAATAAATGAGTAACTGCAAATAAAATATTGTTCATCAGCTCAATTTACTTATTTTAATATTTATTTTTGCTTCTGAGACAGTTTAGTGCAACATATGTTGGCTTTGAACTCCCTGTTTACCTATAAATGACCTTAAATTTTTTCCTATACCATCCAAGTGCTGGGTTATAGGTATGCCACCATGCTTGATTTAGGCACTGCATAGGATCAAGCCTAGGTCTTCTTTCATGCTAGGTAATCACTCTTGTCAAATGAGCTAGGGATCAAACATCTCTAGCTCCAAATGAGTAACTAATGTGGATGTATCATGAGAGCTGTACTTTGCTAGCTAGTAGGTCTTTCTTGTTTGAGTGTACTTGTTAAAAACTTCTAACTCCAAACATTCTATTAACCAACTATTTAGACATACAAAAGGATTGAAAGAATTTTGTAGTAAATATTTATATGCCTACCTATCACAAAGAGTCTACAATCAGTGTTTTGCTAACATGGAGGAAGTCCTGGGTTCAATCTCCAGCCTTGGGGAAAAAACGAAAAGATTCAGTATGTTAGCACATTACAGTTCCCTTTTCCTCTTTCCTAGTCAGTCTCCTCATACCTCGTCCAACCACTGTTGATTGTTTACAATCCCACATAACCAAGTACCATCGACACCCTCATGTCTTTAACTCAGCAGTTGGAAGGTTGAGTTGGGAACATCACAACTTAGAGACCAGCCTGAGCAATATGTCAAGACTCTGCTCAAACAAACAAACATGCCTATATAACATTTACCTGTTTTAGAATTTCATGTTATTTCTAATTACTGCTTTAAAGAATAACCTGTCTGGGCTGGCTCATTTTATGCTAGCCTGACATAAGCTAGAGTAATAAGAGAGATGGGCACATCCCCTGAGAAAATACATCCACTGGATTGGATTGCAGGCAAGCCTGTAGGGCATTTTCTTAATTAGTGGTTGATGTGAGAGGGCCCAGCCCATTGTGGGTGGGGCCATGCCTGGGCTGCTAGTCCTGGGGTCTATAAGAAAGCAGGCTGAGCA